AGGTGAGGGGCCCCGAGGACTAAACTGCAGTTGCTTATATAGGGAATCAGGCAAACGTGCCGTACTATGATTGGGTCCCGCCAGACTGCGAACACGGGAAGCCACGGGATAGGCTGAGGACATAAGGCCAATTACCATACTCGTGCATCATAGCCAAATATGGAGTTGTTTACAGCTAGGCTACCAGGAAGCCAGCGCCATCTTAGAATGGCGGCTCCCTACACAAAGCTACACAGAGAAACCCTGTCTCGAAAAAACCAAAAAAAAAAAAAAAAGAAGAAGAAGAAAGGGAGCTGACTAGCGATGTTCCTCATTCCCTTTCTGACATCAGACACAGTATGACCAGTCAGCTCCTGCTCCCACCACCATGGCCCTACCCCACCCCGGGATGATCATGGACTAGCTCTCTGGAACTGTGAACCCCCAAATTAAATGCCTTGGTCATGGTGTCTCCTCACAGCAATAGGAAAATAACTAAGACAAAGGATATTTTAAAATAATAATGAAAAGCACCATCACTGTGTCATTTGTAAATAAGAAAATAACTGAGTGTGCATTAAATCTTATGATGGACTTCCAATATGTCATCACTTTTTTTTTTCAGAATGAAAGACTAGAGTGTCTTTCAGAAGAATTTGTTATCATGATCCCTATATTCTAGTAAGTTGAAAATCTGAAAGGTATTCTTAACTAAAAGCAAAGCGCGACTGGACTGCCCGTCAGAGCAGAGCACTAAATCCTGCCTCCAGAGCATTTCTTGCCTGGATTCGGGAGCTCTCCTGTTTGCACAAGCAACATCGATTTCCTGTAGTGTGTTATCTCAAGAAGATAACAGGGGCAGAGCTGAGCAGGGCCACTTACAGACAGACAGGATCCTAACCTACTCAGCATCCGGAAAAACGCCCGAGTCCCTCCCCAGGTGTAGCCATCAAGCAGAGATCGTGGGGACTGATGTTAACAGAGTCCACAAAGCTTTTAGGCAGCCCAGCCAGGTCTGCCCTCACTGAACCAAATTCAGAGCCATGTCTAACCTGTCACCACATCCTGGAGGGTGAGGACTCCACCCTCCGTAGTTCTTTCTGGTGGAGCTGTGGTGAGGACAGAACCCATTTTCTACAGAGAGAATGTGGGAGCTGGGGAGACGGCTCAGAGGGTAAAGCTCTTGTCGTACAAGCATGAAGACCTGAGTCTGACCCCCTAAAACTTGGGTGTAGAAACCATGCGTGCCAGTGTTCTCTTACAGTTCATGCCCCTTGGAGGTAGAGACAGGCTGGACCCTGAGGCTTGCTGGCCAGCCAGTCCAGCTGAATCACCAAGCTCCAATTCAGTGAGAGCCACTGTCCCAAAAGTTATGGTGGAGAGTGATTAAGGAATGTGCTTGACATGGACACGGACACACACACACACACACACACACACACACACACACACACACAGGCACACACACACCAAGAAAAGAAAGAGAATATGGATCAGAGAGACACAAGCCATGCTCACTCTAACACATTAGAATATTTTATGAAAAGCCACCGCTTAAGCTATAGATTTTACCTTGGTTTTAGCGGTCAGTTTGTTCTCTTTCTTTATTATTTTTATCTCCTTTTTAAAATGTACCCTAAACCTCCCTAGTCGGCCAGCAAAAATAAAAGTATCCATCTTTCACAAGCCCAGGTTGTCTTCAAACTGGTCTCCTGGCATCCTATTCTCTTGATTAGAAAGTCACTTGGGGGCACTTCATCATTCTTTAAGGTGAGAACTGACATAGAAAGTTTATCAGTATTCTTTGGGAGGGTATGCAAGTTGGCAGTAGTCAGTCAGTTGCTTATTTTACCAGCTTATCCCTTGCAACAAATATCCATCCCATAAGGTGGCAAACCAAGGGGGGGGCTTCATAGCCCGTCTCTTTCTACTGCTAATTTGATATTAAATTGGGGGCCGTCGGCTCCTGCAGTTTAGTAACTGTTAACTTTACTTGAAATCCTGTAAACAGTTATTAGCCTTTAGTCCCAGCTGATGCAGTCAGTCTTGGCCCTGCGGTAGGTAGATCTGTAAAGTCAGGGGGTCCCCCTAGAGCCTGCCATCACCACAGCTCAAAGTGAAGAAGGAATTGTGGCCAAAAATGCCTCCCAGGCTTAGTTCCAAGCTGGCAGGCAGCCGCCTGGCTCCCAGGTGAGCCTCGGCTGAGTTCAGACAAGCCGCTAGCCACTTGGACAGCTTGGCTACATTGCAGGACCAACAGCTGGCTACCTGGGATCTGTGTTCGTTAGCTCATTCAGATATTCATTGATCCCCACTGGATGTCTGGTACTGCTAGATGCTAGATGTAGGGTGATAGATATGAGCAGTAGGACTCCGGCTGTCTGGTGAAGCAATTCAACACTATCCATCTCCAAAGCGACTGATGAGTTACATGTTGTTCTGCGCTCTGAGGAAGAAACCCAATAAAACCTTATTTCAGATAGGGTCTAGGGAAAGACTTCAACTTAAAGCGGTAAAAATGGCTTGTATGGTGGGCAGTGGGGGACTAGTGTCCAGGGTAAGAAGCAGTGTGTGAAGACCCTGAGCAGGCCCAAGCCTGCCTTTTCCTGGGCATCCACGGGCCACCAGTGGCCTACAGCACGGTATGTTCACTTTGCATCACTCCGACAAAGTGATCAACAGATAAAGGGAAAGGTTTATTTTTACTCACATTTTCAAAGTTTTCAGTGTATGGTTACTTGGCCCTGTGGCGGCAAAGCAAAGGAGGTCTGTTCACCTCTTGGTGCCCAGGATGCAGAAAGGATAAAGACAGGAAGGGACCAGGGTCCTAATACCCCCTCCAAGGGCTCCCTCCCAAGGACCTGATTTCCTTCCATTAGATGCTAAAGTAGCCTTCAGTTCCAAAGAGCTACAAACTGGTAACCAAGCCTTTAAAGCTTTGGCAGATGTTTAGGATCCAAGCTGCAGGAGTGAGCAAGATTTTGAGATGTGAAAAGGGCCGGGCGGTGGTGGCGCACGCCTTTAATCCCAGCACTCGGGAGGCAGAGGCAGGTGGAGCTCTGTGAGTTCGAGGCCAGCCTGGTCTGCAAATTGAGTTCCAGGAAAGGCGCAAAGCTTCAGAGAAACCCTGCAAAGCTTCAGAGAAACCCTGTCTCAAAAAACAAGAGAGAGAGAGAGAGAGAGAGAGAGAGAGAGAGAGAGAGAGAGAGAGAGAGAGATGTGACAAGGAAGTCTGGAGGTGAATTCAGTGCTAGGGTTTAGGATGCGATCATAAGTGTTGCGGGAAATGACTGAAGGTTTAAACCAAGACGTGACATCATCTGTTATGGTTTGAGAGGTATATTTAATTTGCAAGGGTAAGGCTGCCAGCCCTTAATGTTTTATAACCCTGCATACTAAATCAAGGAGCAAGAAATTGTCAAGTCAGGGGAGCAAGGCGAGTAGTGGGTTTGAGTTTCTTTCTAAATGGTATTTTTATAAATGTATGCCATCAAAAAATCGGGCTGAACGTCTGATTGCCGCACTTGTACAGCTCCCCGAAAGAAATCTCTTCTGTGCTCTGGAAACGGCATGTGGTTGTGAGAATCCTGGGCAGCGATACACTCTCGTCAGCATGTTTCCACTGATGTCTGCAAAACAAATGCCTTCAGGTGCTCATCACGTATGGTCACGACGGGTGACAGCAGCGAAGGGAGAGGACAGGTGGAGGTGCTGGCACAGTGGCCCGTGCCTCTTCGTCTAGTGTGTCCTCTCATTGGTTGATGTCAAGAGTGAAAACAGGCTAGAGAGATGGCGCTCCGGTGGCCAAGCGTTTGCCGTACAATCACGGGGGCCTGAGTTCAATTCTCAGCATCCCCTGGCAGAAGGGGAGGGGTTGGAAACCTGGATGCCACAGTCCCAGTGCTGCAGAAGACAAGACTGGAGGACCCCAGGATCACTCCCTGGCCAGCCTCTTCTGTGACAGTCAGGTTCTATGAGAGACCCTGACTCAAATATTCAGGTGGGAAGCAGTTGAGGAAGATACCAGAAGTCACTTCTGTCCTGCACATGCAGGTGCCCACACCCATACAGAGAATAAAAACAACCCAGCCCCTCCTCTAGTGTCAGCTCATGAGGAGAGAGCAGACATTGCAGAGTAAAGCAAGACTATCCACACAACACTGAGCCTCAAAAAGGCTGTTAATTTTGACCTTGGCATCATTGGTAAAAATGAAGAAACCCTGAAGTCTCTGCAAGTGGGCATCATAGGGGCCCAGGTTGTGTGTCTGAAAGTCTGTCTTTGCCATTCTCAGAGGCGAATTGGTTTAAACTTGAATTTTAGAGGAGTTGGAATTAACGTTCTGATTCACTTGAATGCTTCAGAACTGTCCATGAATGACTGATGTCACCCTCCTCTGAGCTCACCTTCCTTCCAGAGCTGTTCCAAGCACATTTCCTAACCAACACTTTCACATCCTCGGAAGATAAGAGTCTACGTCAGGAGGAGCATCTTTGTTCAGTCGCTTTAAGTTATGCAACTTAATTAGATCATTAAATGTGTTTCAGGCAATTTTGTTACACATCGGAAAAACTTTCAGACTGGTGTTTGTTCTAAGCTAAAATCAGGTGAGGCCAGGAGACTGGGGAGGATTGTGAAATCAGTCCATGTTGTGGCCTAAGGGGTCCTAGAGAGCTGACAGAGAACATTTCTGAAGAAACTCTTGGGTGCCATCCCATGGTAAATAAGGGTTTCAACAGTACTCCTGCATTTTTAAAAAGTATCTTTAAGGACCATTGATGAGTTTTAATCATTCCTTGGAGACTATATTAACACTTTAATCATATATCATTATGTCCCACCCTGGTGATAAAATAGTAACTGAGGGCTAGGATGGCTCCATGGACAAAGCGTTTGCCATGGAAACGTGAGGGCATATGTTCAGGTTCCTGGAACCCGTGGAAAAGCTGGTCTTGGTAACTTACATCTGTAATCTCAGTGCTCCTAAAACAAGATGAGAAGTGCAGAGTGGCCCTCGGAAGCTCCTGGGCCAGCCTGGTGTACACCACAGAGAACAAGGAGGGAGAGACCCTGTTTCAAACGAGGTGGAAGGCGAGGACTAAGACCCAAGGTTGTCCCCTGACTTCCACGTGAATGCTATGATATATGTACCTGTACTTACACACCTGAGTGTATGCACACGTAAAATTCACAGACACACAAAAAATAGTAACTGATTTTACCTTAATGAAATTTGCCTTCACTTGAAGTCTAGTGTGTGTGTTTTTTTTTTTACTCATCCAATGCTATGCATAAAACATAGATTGTGATATGAGTTTTGTATTGCAAATTTGGAAAACTCAGGCCATAAAACCAACTTGACTTTAAAATACAGTCATCTCATTGCCCCCAAAGGGGAGAGGGCAGGTGAGCCTGTTTTATACCTTAGGAAATAGAGGGCCTTAGGTACGAAACAGTTGTCCAAGGAAAAATATATATAGTCAAGCCTAGAAATAATTGTTTGGTTTGTGAGAGGGTCTTAGGGAGCCCAGGCTGCCTTTGTACTATGTGGCCAAAATGACCTTGAACTCCAAGTACTTCTTTGAAGCCTGGTCCAAGGCCATATCAACTATAGAAGCATCCAAGAGTGCCCTGAAGCTCTGGACATAGCCATATGTTATAAACTTCATAATTCTTACTAACACGACTGAAGACTTGTGTGCTTATATTATTATTGTTTCTTAAGACATCGTGGAAATGTCATTAGATTTATATCTTACCTTCGAGGGACTTTGTGTTTTGTTATCCTATTCCTAGTTGAAACTGATGGAATAAACTCCATTGTCCACTAGAGGTCACCTTTCCAACTGGTTTTAATCAACCACCCCCACTGGAGAGGAGTAAATGATAGGCTTTTCTTTTTTTTTTTTTAAATTGTCAGAGATTCCATGGAGTCCTTTAGCTAAATGCATCCATATTGATAGAAAAGATTATCAGGGCTACTTGAAGATCTAAAGGTCAAAGGGGAAGCATGCCCTTTATCCCATCTACCTGTTATATCCATGCATACATCACACACACACACACACACACACACACACACACACACACACACACACACACTGACTTAGTGCTACTCTGGTCTTCTCTTGGAAAACCTGTTTGATTTTATTTGGAAATTTGGGAAGTCTCATTAGTTTCCCCCCCTACCCCCTGAAGTGGAGGTAAAACCGTCATTAAGGATATAAACAATTGGAGAAGAAACCATATAGACATCACACCGTGTACCTGTGCATCAGTTGCTAATTTTCTGCAGCATGCAAATTTCCTCTTGCCTTGGGCAGAAAACACACTGGGGAGAAGCCTAAGACGATGCAGTAAACAGGCGCCTTGGCAGTTCCTGTGGAAATAGAACTGTCTCATTATTCTGCAGGGAGGGTGCTGCTATAACACTACCTGGCTTCAGACCGTGTCTATAGAAACCCACGGCGGCGGCGGCAGCAGCAGCAGGTATTTTTAGAGACTAATTTGCACCTATTATAATGATCTGCTAAACACCTCATCTTCAAGTCCCCCAAACATAAAACTGAAAATTAGAGTCCCAAAATGTAAAAATAATCCATAATACATATACAAGTGAGATCATCTGTAGGACTTGGTAGAAAAGTTATCTATGAAGTTAGGGTAAGAAGACTGTAACATTTCAGCCCACACCATGGAGAGTGAAGTATCTCCACCTCCATCTTTGACATCAGCAGATGGAGTCAAATGCCAGGTCCTCAGATGGTTGAACTAGTCGATAGGCTTTTGACTGTGTAAGGAGTAGCTCTGTGCCAGCCTTTCGGAAAACGATGCCTGCCAACCTCTAGGCAGGAAGAATGATCTGAGTTGCCCAGGAAGCCAGGCTTGGCTCAGTGCCAGGCTAAGATCGGGCTCATCTGCTTGGTACAGCTTGCACAATGACAAGAGAATGCCCAGCCCATCAAATGAGGAGGTCTTGTTCCAGACTGATGCCCTGTTGCAAATACGTGTGTTCTCTTTTGTTATCGTGCTTATAAGAAACATGAGCAATTGCTGTACATTGTCACCAAATCACCTGTGGGTAAGAGTCTTGCTTCTTTGCCTCCGACCTTCTGGCTATGCTGTGCTCCATGACGATTTATCCAGAGACGATAGCCTACACCATTACAGAGAACTGGTTCCACAACTACTTGCCTCTGTGAAATGGGATTCTTTTGATAAGGCGCAACAGAGCAACATACAAAAAATTAATTAATTAATTAATTAATTAATAAAAAGGCCAGGCTCCGATTGGCACGTGACGGACATCTTTAATGTGATGCCTTCAATGTTTGTGTGGAAGAGAAGAGCTGTGTGATTTCATCAAGTGAAATACAAGCTTGAGCTCAAGTTAATTTTACCCTCATAAAAACTTTATCATTTTTATCAGCATTGCTGATTCACACTAATGATTTTCCAAGGAAGCTACTTTCTAATGTAGCTTAAAATAATAAGCATTAAGCCGGAGTCAGAATAGGCAAACGACCAAGCCAATTATTTTACGTTACTTATAAGTCTTGGGTTTCTTGTTTATAGTTACAAGGATAAAAACATATAGTATGTCTCTTTTATCTTCCTCTAAGATCCCCTTCTGGTCTTCTAAATATTCCTAGGGAAAAAAGTGTACAGTTATCCTGACGTCAGTGTCTTCTTCTGGGACTCTTGGCCCGCTCTGTAACGTGGAGAATGACTTTGATACAGTAGTAGCCTGCAAGTGTGCTATGAGGCTCTCCATCCCAGAAGTCACAGCCCCAGGGAAGACACTCATCTGACAGGTTGTTACAACACAAAGCAAAGGCAAAGAGAGAGGGTACATTGAAATACCAAGAAGTCAAGGGCTGTGAAGGGCTGCACTGCCCACAGCTAGGATTTTGCAGTCTTCATGTGCCCGACCTCTCCCCAGCAGCCTACCTGGGAGATGATGAAGCTGTGCCCCGACAGTCAAGGTTTGCAAACTGGTTCTCAGTTAAACAGAAAGTATCTGCCAGGGACGCACACTTCCTTTATCAGAGAGAGAGGCGATTTCCACTGGCTTCCTCTGTACCTCACCTCTTATCCAGAGCACAAACTGGGCAGGAATAGGAGGGGCCAGTGGGCAGTCCTCGAATCTCATGAACACCGAGTGCCCCAAATGGACCAGGTAATATTCAGTGTGGGAACGGCAAGAGGTTCTTCAGTCTTCCTGCCCCTTTCTACGCTCAGCACTCACACTTGGTTTACTGCTGAACATATTCCATAAAATCTGGCTATTCTTTGTCTGCTTTTAACGCATATACTGCTTTTCACCGACTCAGCTGCTGCCTGTTCATTGCCTACACTTAACATGTGTTAGGAGTTTCAACTATCCTGTTTGTTTTTTGTTGTCCTGCTGGACCAGAGTTCACAAGGAACACAGCAAAACCCCTAGGAAATGTTTGGGGAAAGTTTCCCCTACAATCATCCAGCCTCTCTGGTCTCCCTCAAGCCTTGCCCCCCAGCTGCCAATGACGGCCGCTCTGCCATCTCTATCCCATACCCACCAGAACGTTCTCCTCACACAGCATTTCTTCGCAACCTGGCATTCATGTGTTCTTTTCCAAAATGGAATGAACGCATGCCAGGTGCTCCCGATCAGGTCTTCTAGTGCCTGGCTTTTCAGCTCCCTCCACCCATCACCCTCACTCTATCCCTTCTGGTTGGTTCCTTCTCTGATGCCCACCTCACGTGTGACCCTCCCTTCTCTTTTTTTTAATCTTTATTTTTATTTTATGCATGTATAGGTGTTTTGTCTCCATGTCTATGTGTGCTTGGTGCCCGTGGAAGCCAGAAGAGGGGTCAGATCCCCTAGAACTAGAGTTACTGACAGTTGTGAGCCACCACATGGATTCTGGGAATCAAACCCAGGTCCTCTAGAAGAGCAGCCAGTGCTCTTAACCCCTGAGCCATCTCTCCAGCTCCCGGTCCTGCACTCGTAAACACCGGCAAGGTTCGGTACTGTGTTCATGGAACCACCCTGGGATTGTGAGTGGTCAACAAGATTGTTTACAAACTGCCCTCTACTCAGTCTCCCAGCTTGTTAACTGCAGCCACAGAGCTTTCCAGCCCTGACATTGGGCTGCTCGCAGTTTCAGTGGAAAACCTTACAGCTTCCTCTTTGTCAGAACACATGGCTCTGGTTGTTCTCTCCTCCTCTCCTGAAGCACCTGAAACAGATGTCTGTCAGCTTCTCTCTCTCTCTCTCTCTCTCTCTCTCTCTCTCTCTCTTCTCTCTCTCTCTCTCTCTCTCT